CTTCCTCAGATGAGCTAATGGTGATTGATTTTCTGCTTCATTTATTTTCTAATACATGAATTTAAAGATAAAAGTTTTTCTCTAAACACAACTTTCCCTGAAGCCACTAGGTTTCAAAACGTAGTATTTTTGTTATCATTCAGTTAAACCTATGTTGTAATTTTAATTTTTACTTAATTGTTTCATGGGTTGTTTTAAAGCTCATTTCTTAATTTAAAAAGGTTACAATCCTTGTTCTAGCATTTAAAAATTATTAATTTCTATTTAAATTGCATTTTAGTCAAAGGACACACTGTGATGTCAATCCATTGAAATTTGCTGAGATGCACCTCATGGTATAGAACGTGGTCAATTGCTGCAAATGTTCCATGATTGACAAGAACGTATATTCTGAAATTTGGAGTATAGTGGTTTAGGTATGTTAATTAGATCAATTTTATTTATATTTTTAAATACTCATAGAGGAATTGATCTTTATTGTTTTCTTAAAAAGCTTCTACTTTATCTTATACAGTTTGAGTTTGTGTTGTTATTTGTCTTGTGCTTTGCATACAAATTTAGAATTATATCTTCTTTTTGAATTAAATCTTTAAGGATTTCGAAGTGACCGATTTTATCTTTTTCTAAAGTTATTTATCTTCAGAGAGGAAGGGAAGGAGAGAGGGAGAGAAATATCAATGTACAGTTGCCTCTTGTGCATCCCCTGCTGGGAACTGGCCTGCAACCCAGGCATGTGCCCTGACTGGGAATCAAACCACAATCCTTTGGTTAGCAGGCCCGTGCTCAATCCACTGAGCTATGCCAGCCAGGGCCCATTTTTATCTTCAGAGATCCTTTTGGCCTAAAAAATATAGTTGTCTCACATTATAATAGCTAAACTGGCATTCTTTTGGTTAATATTTGCATTTGAGTAGCATAATTTTTATCATCCTTCTGATTTCATTCTTTCTATATCCTTGTTTTAAATGTCTCTTGTCAACAGTATAAAACTTTTGTTTTTTTCCATCATGATAGTCTTTATCTTTTTGTTGGAATATTTAGGCTTCTATGAATTTAGATGCAAATTTAAATTTAATGTTATTACTGATATATTTTGTTTATATCTCTGTCTTATAATTCCAATATTTTTTAAAAACAGGGGAAGGGAAGGAGAGAGGGAGAGAAACATCAATGATTCTTTCATCATCCCCTATGATCCAATATTTTTGAATTAATTTTTCCTCCTTTATTTTACTTGCATTTATTAGGTTTTACTCTATTTTCTGTCTATATTAGCAAGACAGTTATACATTGTCTTACTCTTCTTTTAGATACTATAATATTCTTTCATAGATTGAAATGATTCCTGCTTTATTGTCTAATATTCATGAGCTCTTTAACTTTTGTCTTATGTAAGAATCAAAGAACTTTTTAACTGCATTTACCCCTTTTCTGAATTAAATACCATTGTTGTAATATACTGCAATCTTGTCTGAACTGTAAACTCAGGAAGACATTACTATTAATTACGAAAAATATTCATTTATACTGATCACAACCCATTTCAAATTCACTTGTGCTTTTCTACTTCTAGCTACAAACTTTATTTTGAAATAATTATTTTGTCTGTCTGAAGAACATCTTTTCATACCTCCCCTAGTACAGATCTGCAGAGTTTTAATTCTCTAGTTTTGTTTTTGTTAAAATTTTTATTGTTATTTTTGAATGATATAGAATTATAGATTGGTAAATATTTTCATATAGAATATAGTGTTATTAAAAAGTCAACTGTTAATGTCTTTAAAGACAATCTTTTCTTGATTTGTTGATTAGGTTTGTACATTGGTTTTTTTACCCTAAAATAACAATAGATTTAATTGTCAGTAATTTCTGCTTTCAAATTTTAAGTGGTTGAATGTTTTTCTAGTTAAACTCTTGAACTAATATCTCATGTCAGTGAATTGTGAATAAATACCATAACTGTTCAGTTGTGACTTTGCAACATTTTGCTATAATGATCTTATATATAATTAATTTATACAAATGCTAAATGCTTATTCAAAAAGAATGCCTATTATCTGACAGTACAAATATTAGTATGTATCTGTTTAATCATTTCATGTTATTTAAATTCTTTTTACTCTCATTTAATCTTGCTTATTATAACAGACAAAAGTTATCAGTCTTCCAATATGATTGTCATATTATGTAATTATAAAAGGTTCTGATATGATTCCATTCACAAGGGTTCAGTCTATTCACTGTAGGTTTAATTTTTTCAATATAAGATGACCCTTATTGGTGGGCTGGAATAGGGGTAAAGGGGAGAAAACTATACTTGAACAATTAAAATATAATAAAATAAAGATTAATAATTTTTTAAAGATGATGATTTTCGATCCAGTATAATTTTTTTACTTGAATTCTCTTTATTTTTATTATTATTGTTTCTTCCCCCTTTTTATTTATTAGTTGAAATTCTTATCATTTTTATCCTTTTATTTTTATCTTTTGCATAACATGTTAATTTAAGTTGGACTCTTTCTTTGTACAGCTAGAATTTAGTTTTGAGTCTTTGTTTCTTAATAAGAAATCAACCCATTCATATTTTTATTCTTGCAAGAGCATATCATTTCTACATAATGTTAGATCACTGATAGGTTATTGTAAAGTAATATGAGTTCTCAAATGTCACTTGCCATTCTCAAAAGTAGAAAGACTAAATTAATTATTTAATGTCTAAGGATAAATATTATTCTATATATAATAATACATTTATATATTTGTGTGGTAATATGTAATTTACAATGTACTTGTATAACATATTAATAATTGTATAGAAAGCAGCAAAAGGTTTATTACATACTCAGTATTAATTACATTTTTATAACATTGCATTGAATATATCATAAGTTCTTCCTAAAATCTCAGATGTAAGTAGAACAAATCTTATCTGATAGTATAAAAGAAAATACTGTTCACAGAAGTTGCCTAATTAGTACAGGACCATACATCTTTTAGTAGATGGGACTGAACTTGAACACAATTCGCAAAACTTCAGGTACATTGTTTTACCTTGAATTCTAAGCTTTAGTTCTATTTTTATAGTTTGCGTTAACACAAAACAACATACTAATATAATCTCATCATTCAAATTTAAAATATAGGGAAATCACTGTTTCAACAACCATATATTATACCATAAAGAGGCCTAAATAAAGCTTATATTGTTTCTTAAACTTCAATGAACCTAGATGAAATTAAGATATATTCTAGTTTTTGTCTCTCTCAGCTGAGTGATTCCACTCTACTCCAAAACATATGGAAGAATATAATGAGTTATAAACCTCATCTGGTTATGATTTAAGGAAGTGGGATGTCATTCTAAAGGAAAGTACCTTTCTGAGCTGCATCCTGAGCCAGACTATTTAGGGAGGCATCCAGGAGCTTGGACAGGAGCTGGTTTGGCTTTCGTGAAAGGACAGTAACGAAGTGGCAAACTTTACTAAGCTATAGAAATAATTCCATCATTCCACACGCTCTAATTTCCATAGTTCAGGCATGCACAAAAATCATTCTAAAAGTGATGAATTAGAGAAAACCCTCAGTGATGAATATCAGCTAACTGGAATGCTGATATATGTTGAACATATAAACAAGCAGATGTCCTAGTTGAAATATTTAAGAACATTAAAAGCCTCTTTCTTTTTAGTTCAGTGCTATTTAGAAAAAAAACCAAATGGTTCTCTGTGACAGCTGATCAGATAACTGGAGAGAAAAATCTCAACTATAAAAACCATGGTAGAGTTAGAAAATAGCGATGCATTCTAATTGTCACTAATGCTAGATGCATAGTGCATATAATTCCATTATACTGGTGTTCCATAAAAGGTCCTTGAGGAAATGCTAATAGATATTGTTATAAAAGTTTAATACTTTAATTTTAATATTATATTAAGAAATATCAGACATATTTTGTTTCTTTTTATTATTTAAAAATGTAATGTCTTACATGTTTGTTTTGATTAACTAAGTTATACAAATACCATTTCTGTGGCTAAAAGGCAAAAAACAAAGATCTTGTGGTTCTCAACTCCAACCAAGTGAAATTTTAGAAACTCAGATTCTCTCTCAAAGTTAAATTGAACAACTGAGCTTTTGCTTTTAAAAGTTAGTGGGGATAGTGATGATCTATACAAGGTGTAAGCCTAAAAGCATTGGAAATAGCTGAATTCAAGATTAACAGTTTATTACTGTGTAGTTTATTTGCCTTTTATTATAATGAATATGTATAAAATAGAATTTTCATATTAAATATCATGCAAAATAAAATACAAAATGTACAATAATTTGAATTCTCCATTTTCATTTGTAAAAAGTTAAATGCAACACATCAGAAGATAATTTTTTATTATTTTTTGTAACAATTTAGGTGCAAAATCATTTTTTGATGTCTAGTACATTCAAACTGTTTATTATAGCTATTGATTCTCTGTTGGTTTTCTTTTTTTTTTAATTTTATTTATTTATCTTTAGAGGGGAAGGGAAGGAGAGAGGGAGAGAAACATCAATGTGTGGTTGCCTTTCATGTGTCCCCTGCTGGGAACTGGCCTGCAGGGAACCGGCCTGCAACCCAGGCATGTGACCTGACTGGGAATTGAACCGCAATTGTCTGGTTCACAGGCCCGCGCTCAATCCACTGAGCTACACCAGCCAGGGCTGTTGGTTTTCTACTAATACATGATAACCTAAAAAGTACTTCTGTGGCCTGATTAGTTAGGGGAATATACCTAAAATATTGAGAGGCATTTATATATAGATGAGAAAGAAAAATAATTATATCTATCTACTTATCTGTCTATTTATCTATCTATCTACCTATCTATATTTTGGAATCCAAAAGCACTATATTTAATTCTTAGTTCTTCTGCTTATTAGCTTATGGTCTTGGAAAAATAAATGTATGAACTTACTCAGGGATCCTTAACCTTACATGGCACACCAAGCTGCTACAGCTGGCTTTGGCTGTGGATATACTGGTTGGTACTGGGGAGAAACTGAGAGGGTCAGCATGGCCTCTACACAAGGATGACACACAAGTTCATGAAGCATTCATATTTTTAAAAGAAAAAAATACTACAACTGGGAGCACTGGCATGGATGCTTAGGATTGGAAGGAGCATCAAGATAACTATTCCAATACTATTGATACAGGGTGCAGCCAAAGGGGGCCCCCCAAAAAAAGATTTGGAATGGTGTCCAGAATTCAAAGTGTATGGGAATAATGGAGAGACATATAAGATGTCCTCACCCCACCCCCACAGGTGTGAGTTGGGGGGAAGGGACAGTTTTGTACAGCCACAGCCTTGCAGCTAATCCATGGCATTGTCTTTTAACATATCTATAGCCTCTGGCGGTCACTTGGATATGTTAAGTGGCTGTGGCCAGGCTTGGAGCTAGGGGGATGAAGTCACTTCCCCCCAAGATGTAACTGGGGGCAGGTCCCCCCAAGTTACAGCGCCTGCGTAGGGGCTTGGAGAAGATTGGCTCGAGGACATGGGATGATTACTGCCCAGACTAACGATGGCAGCCCAGTAAACTTGTATTAATACAGAATACTGGCAGGTGTAACTGATCTTGGGAGGAGTTGGAAATAGGGGTACAGAGGAAGATGGGTGCTGGGATTTAAGAGCCAGGCACGGCAGCCATTGAGAGAGAGCCACGCGGTTTCAGCAGAGTGAGGACCCCCTGTTGGTGGGGTGAAAGAGGGAGCCACGTGGTTTTGGCGGAGTGTGGACCCCCTCTTTCCCAGGTGAAAGGGAAAAACCACGCAGCTTTGCCAGAATGGAGATCCCTGCAGCCAGGTGAAGAAGACAGCCACATGTTTTTGGTGGAGTGCGGACTCCTGCAGCTTTGGTAGAAGAGGCCCACGCGGCTTTGGGGTGCCCCCTTTGGCCGCGGGGCCTGAAAAGCAACAGAGACTTTGACTGGAACTGGGTACAAAGGACTCTTGCCAGTGGACTATGAGAGGGTACCACAGTACTTTGGATTAACTCGAGATCCTGCACAGTGACACAGCTGATGGCACCAGCGGCCTGAAAAAGGGACGTGTGCTCTTTTCCTGATTTACGGTACCCGGAGTTGGGACAGTGGGAGAAGGGAGCGCTGTGTGGGTGTAGGTGTACAACCTAAAGGACTTTGATATTTTAGTGGTGGCATTAGGCCTCAATAGCATTAAATAAACATTTTGTTTCCTTTTCACAAATCTCTGGCATTAAGAGATGTGTTTCCAATTGGCGGCGGACAGAAGGGCCCAGTAGATTTTAGTATTTTGGTTTTTGGGAGGGGCCCCTGTTGTACAGCAGTTTTGGGCATCCCTAGGTGGGCCAAATATTGTATTGCCCCTCCCTCCGACCTCCTCTTGTTCGGTAACACTATGATGTTCGAATTGTTTAATAACACCTATGCTTCAAACGGTGATGCTTGAAGTTTGTTAATAGACCCTGTCAAGCATCTATCAAATTGAAAGAGATGTGAAGAAGAGAGAATATTTGTGTGTCAAAGAATGAGGTAGGTATTCGATATATTATTCAACTTTCAAAAAATGATATAAAATATACTTTTATTATTATGCCTGAAACTCAATAAAGCTAGAAGTTTTGACAGGAATCACAAAAGTGATTTCTGAGACTGAATATTCAAGTGGACAATGGGCAGACCCCATGAGAAGCAGAACTCTGTTCCACAACCTGCAACAACCTGCTCAGGAAATCAACTTTGTATCTACAGTAAACAGCCCAGGAAGCCAATCTGCATAACTGAAACTTCTAGGCAGCCAGATTTCCATTTCTAATATTGTAAAAATCCAAAAAGCTATACAGTAACTCCTGTAACAACCAGCCCAAATGACCAGGACTTGATTGACAGTTTCCCTAATTTTCTTTACTTCTAACTCAGGACCAGAGAATTTCATATATGACTCCTTACCAATCACATAGGATGTCTTTCTTCCAATTAACCTGCCTATAGCATCCTCAGGCCAACAGCCTTTAATCATGGTGCACCCGAAGGCTTCCATTTCCACTATAACTCTTTCCCACTCTTCTGCCTTCCTTTGAGTCTGCCAAAATGCAAGTGATGGTGGCTGGCCCCTTTGCTAGCAAGCTATCAGTAAGTGGGTTTTGTTTCTTTCATTCCATTTATCTTATTTATATCTACAAAAAACTAATAAAATGGATCTAAAAAATTATTGTATCAAGCAATAGGCTACATGTACAAGAATATTCATGGTGGCACAGTTTATGACAGACAAATGCCCATCAATGAGAATAGTGGAATAGTTACATGATTAAAATCGAAACAATGAAAAACCTTACAGCAATAAAAATGAACAAATTTCGTCCATAGTCAGCAATGTAGATTGATCTTCCTTGCACAGAGAGGGTATCCGTGATTATTGGAAAGGGCCATACAGGGGAGTGCAGCACACAAGCACCTGTATTTAGTCATCTGGCTGGGATTACATGGGTCTCCCTTGATTCTCAATCCAGACTCCTTTGCTGTAATAATATACTCCTTTCCCAGGATAAAGGTGACCATTGTTTGCTGAACTTGAAGTTTGAGTACAACAGTTATGGGACCCTTGCAGCTTCTATGGGATTGATTCTTGCTTTATGCTGGAAAAAAATTCTGTCAGGAGCATGAATTCCCTTTAAAATTCACTTATACATTTCTGCTTCAAGCCAGGTTTGTCTCTCCTGCAGGGACAGCCAGACTTTTCTGCTCACAGCCGCTGGGAAAGAATGACACTCGGCATACTTGCTCTGGGATTTTACTGGATTTTTAACAGAATTCTTGCCCTTGATTACAGCAGGCAAGGAGTGAGGAGTCGTTCCTTAGTCTGTCACCAGGTTTCTCCTTCCTATCTAACCCCTTTCTTAACCCATTATGAGTCAGAAAAAGTATCTCTGAAAGTATATTAGAGAGGTCCAGACCTCTATTATATGATACAGACTTATGGGGGGAAGGACAAATTACTTCTGGTAGGGTACTGGTGAAAGTTTCATGGAGAGATCACAAGCAGTCTTGAAGTCTGAGCAAGTTTTATTTAAAAATTTATTTAAACATTTTAACATGTAAAATGGCCTGTTTAGCCTTTCACTGTTTCTTTTTTACTTTTTATGTTGAAATAATTTTAGACTTCTAGGAAAGTTGCAAAAATATTGTACAGGTTTTCTACAAAGCTTCATTCAGAGTTTCTCATGTTAACATCTTAGAAATATATGCACATATACTGACCAAACATATACTCAGGTTATATTTACATTTCGGTATATCTTTATGTTTGTGTGTATATGTGTGAAAAGCAGGAATCCATACTGATATCTCTGATTCTAATCCAACACCACAAGATTAAAACTTCTGGGGAGGGGAAGGGGGGAAGGGAAATGGCAAGATTTTGATGGCAGAAGAACACTTTACATTAAACAAACATAGAGGTTCAAAAGCCTTAGTTCTGCTGAAGAAAATGGTCAGGTTTTGCACTGTGTAGGTGGCAGACGGACAGTCGCACTGTGAAAAATGCTGCCAGTGGAAAGAGCAGGGAAGACCAAAGAAAGACTGATGGGTGTGCCGATACACAAGGCAGACTGACACAGTTAAATCCATAGAACATATCTGTTTGATTTATTATTAAACACAGGACTGTAACTTAAAGCTACATTCTAATACTGAGCAACACTTGCCTTACTGGGAATTCAGTCTCAATCGTGAATTTTTTTTCCTCCTCACCCACGATTCTCACCTCCCAAAGGCAAGTTTGCTGAACGTTCAGAAATGTACGATCCTGCTTCCTAAGAGCTGGAATAGCATCAGCTAGATTTGATCCATTTCCTCTCTCATGACCTTGGCAGCATCTGGGATGTTCTCTGCCAAAATTCCAGTCAGCCGTATAAAACCTGGTGCTTGGAAATGAGCAGACATGTGAATTAAGTGTGTGGGAGCTATTGTTTGGTGAACATTTATAGGTTTCCCTTTTGGGTTTCAGATTTATAAACAGCATGAATAATAACCTGTTTGGCATAAGGTTATAATTTTATTCAAGAATGCACATCTAACTCTGCAAAATATTATACTTTTGCATTGTAGAAGTCTCCTTTACGATGTATGCAGTGTTTACAGTTAGGATTGTTTACTGATTCTGCTGATTAACCTGAGTGTACCAGTTTCCTGAAGTGTGGGACAGTTTGTCCTTTTCTATTGACTCAACACTAATATTTTACAGGGCGTCAAGGCTCTGCTCTATTCTGCTGTGCATAAAACTGAACACAAAGTTGAATAAGGTACAGCGTGTATGTGACTCTTTCCTATACCATTCCACATTGAACAACTTCTGGCTTTGGCTCTAATAATAAAAAGAGCTTAGAAATCAACACTCTTGTCCTTGAAATGAGGAAAAGGTGGACAACTTGAAAATCAATCATTTTTCTTGGATCCATTAGTGAAGTGAGATTGCAGGGCAAACCACCACCTCAGAGAGACAGATGGAGAAAAGATGACCAGACCCTTATTCCACTTGGGGGAAGGGCGTTCCTCCTGCTTCTGCCCTTCTAACCTTTCTTTTTAAAAATTTTTTATCACAGTCATACTTCATTTTTTATTAAGAGGTAATATCTTTTTTATTGTAAAATTCAATAAAGTATATTCCCTTTTCTCAAAGACAGAAAATTCACCCTAAATATTGAAATAAAATAAATTAAAATGTCTAAAGATATGTAATTTCCAGAAAGAAAATAAATATCTTTTAAAAAAAAGAGAACAATATCTGATCTGTGTACACATTTTCTCAAAGTGACTACTTCGAAAGGAAGTCAGTTATTTGGTATATAATTTCTAAGTTATTTGTACAACATTGCATTAGTCATTTGTATTTATTTTTTTTTCTTTTTGTCTCACCTTATAGGGGAGGGACAGAGTGAAAGAGCTATTTTTCTAAAGAAACTCTTGTGAGGGTCATAGCCAGAGACAAAAGCCACTAAAAGACTGAGACTTAGTAATAAATTTACCCAAAGTTTTGGCTTCCCCACACTTGACCACCACACTAATTGGCTCCAGCGTAGTGGAT